ATTTATATATATATATATTTATATATATATATATATTTATTTATTTATATTTCTGCTTTTGATTCTGCCCCAAACCTCATTAGAATGGCTATAGTCTTGCTTGTTTGTATTAAGCACAAAACTACAAGGACAAGAACAAATAAGAAAAGAAGGATAAAAATTTGGAAATGAGAATCCATATGGAAGTAAAAAGGCATAGGTAACCAACTTAACTTACTGGAAAAAGAATCCTAAGCTGCCAAAAAGCAACCTACCTTATGTAGCAAAAGTCCCCAAAGATTCAGATGGGGCCACAGGGTTCTGGCAGGTGGAGCAGGGGAAGGTAATTAAAACACAATGCTGGGACCTTGTAATTAAGGCTCCCAGGTAAAATACCCATCAAACAGTTAAATTTGCATTTCAGATAAACCACAAATAACATTTTAGTGTAAGTATATTCCAACTATTTGTGGTGATACAATAAGAAGTATTCATTATGTATCTTAAATGTAATTGCGTGTCCTGTGTTTTGGCAGCTGTACTTGGAAAGGAAACAGCCCCCAGAGACCCTCCTTGTGATTTCCAGATGGCAGGATGCCTCCTATTAGTAGGACCTAACTGGAAGCCAACTGGAGAAAATGCCCAGTGAGTGGTCTGTCATTTGTGGACTGCCCCCCCCACGCACTTTGCCAGCCACAGTATCACAAAGCAAAGAACATAGAAGGACAGGTCTCAGGCTGACAGACAGAAGAGAGTGGGATAAATAACCAGCAGAGTTTTATATGAATGGCATAGAATTTTAGTTTTCCATGAGTCTTCATCTTCATTGACTTCTTTCTATGCATACTTTGGATTGCATACTTTGATAATTACATATATTATGTACTTTTTTTGGAGTGGGCAAACAGAACAAAACTGTCAATAATCACTGAGATGAAAGCTGTCATGAAGTAACTCCCACAGCAGAGACTCACCTGCAAGGTCACAGGACTGCTGAAGGGGCCTTAGGGAGCTCCATGGAGTTCCTGGGATCTAAATGGGACTTGCATAAAGAAAGGGGAGGACAGGAGAACACAGGGTCATGGGTGGGGACTCGAACAGCAGAGGTGAGAAATGCACAGTAGATTCCGAGAACAGCCAACACAGCCACATCCAGGGCAGCAACTCTGCCCAACCAGCCCCCACCCCTAAGCAAGAATGCAGACATCCTCCTGACACCAAATGGACCTCACTGCTCCCTCCTAGCCCAGCCAGACCCAATTTTACAGAACTTTCTTGTTTTAGTTTTCTTTTTAAAGTAGACTGCCTCCTAAATACAAAATGTGTCATAGTTCCAAAAGTGTTTTTGACAAATTACACTAGTCCTACACTTATAAACTAGTGAAATAAATTGCCTAAGTTATTTTGTCAACAGTAAAGCATTGCAATTTTTTGTTTCTATTTTACTATACATTTGTGTGTGTGTGAACATACATATTTAGGGTATATTTATATGTATAAACTTATATGTGTGATTCCTATAAATAACATCCCAGGATACTGTATGTATGAGTATTTTTTTGCATAAATTCATTTATTGATACATTTTAGGTATACAATACGTTTACATTTATCATTGGGTGCTTGTACCTGTACATGATGTATCTTAGTTCTTATTTTTCCCCATTACCTGTGCGCCCTTCACCCCCTCCACCCTTCCCTATTTACATAGATTTCCTTTCCATTTTTTTTCTTTCTCATAATGTTTCCTTTCCCTTCTTTCCCTTCCCCTCCCACCACCCCTACACCTTTGGACCTTTTCCTATTTCAAATTATCAATTATTCATTTTAATCATTTTAATCCTTATTTACACTTTCAGTTTCTCACACTAGAGAAACTATTCGGTATTTACACATGTGTGTCCTATTTATTTCACTTAAGAGTATGGCCTCAATATGTATCCATTTAGCTATAAATGACTCTAGTTTCTCATTCTTTACGGCTGAGTAGTACTCCATTTTATAAAAAAAAAATCTTCTTTATCCAGTTTCCAGTTGATGGGCACTTGGGCTGTTTCCGAGCTTTAGCTATTACAAACTGTGCCACTATAAACATGGGTGCACATATATCGCTGTGGTATGATTCTTTTAATTCTTTGGGGAAGATACCCAACAGGGGAATAGCTGGGTCAAATGGGACCTCTAGTCCTAGTTCTTTGAGGTATCTCCGTACGGATATCCACAGTGGTTGTACCAGTCTGCACTCGCACCAACAATGGAGGATTCCTTTCTCCCCACACCCCCACTAGCATTTGTTATTGGTTGATTTCTTGATAACAGCTAATCTTTCTGGGGTGAGGTGGAATCTCAGTGTTGTTTTCATCTGCATCTCTTGAATGACCATTGATGTTGAACATTTTTTTCATATATTTATTTGCTGCTTTTACTTCTTTGAGAAATGTCTGTTCATTTCAGATGCCCATTTTTGGACTGGGTCTTTGAATTTGAGGAGGTCTGATGTTTTTCAGTTCTTTATAGATTCTAGATAGTATGCGTATTTAGCCAGTATTCTGAGACATTTTCAGGGCTCTCTCTCTCTCCCTCCATTTCTTCATTTTTTTTATTGAAGAATTTTCCTTTATTCACTTGTTGTTACAAATATCAATAGCTTTGATTTTATGTGCATAAATGAGTGTTTCTGTAAGAGAATAGCAATATAATTACAGAGTTGGCAGACCTAGGTCTGCACTCTGCCACTTTATGTACAGTATACACGCAAATCACACCAAAGTCAACAATGTGCATTGCTCTTATGCCTTAATTCCTTTGAATCCAGATATTGTACTCCTGCTCTACACAGTCTGTAAGTGAGTTAAATTGCAATAGTGTAAAAATCTGCCTCTTCCTCTAAAAGCAGATTATGCAGAGGAGCCTTAATATCTGACAAAAGGAGAATCTGTTGGAAACATCTCAGTGTAGCACAGTTGGAGGATATTTTAAAACACTTCAAGAAATAGCAGGACTTGATCAGGGATTTCTTTAAACATTTAAAATTGTTTTTCAGACTATTATGCTTCTTTGGTAATATTTTTACACTAATCATGCATGGTCTGTAGGGTTGGAAAAAATAATATAGACGTTTTGTTACTCAATATTTTTTTAAAAAGATTATTGAGATATTATTCACAAAACGTACAATTGAACCACTTATTCAAGTCAGGGATTTTGAATATAGTCACAAAGTTGTGCAACTATCACCATAATCGGTGGTAGGAGACTTATCAGCCTCAGAAGAAACTTCATACTGACTGCAGTCCCGTGTTCTCCCAGCTCTCTTGAGCATAGGCAGACACCAAACCACTTGCTATTCCTATGCACACGCCTGTTCTGGACATTTTATGTAAATGGGCTCATATGGGTTGTGGACTTTTGGCACTGTTTTTTTTCTCTTGCATAATGTTTTCAAGATTCGTGCATGGTGTAGCATGTGTTAATACTTCATTCCTTTTATTGCTGAATACTATTCTTTGTATGGACACATGTTTTTCCATCCATTAGTTGATGGATACTCAGGTGAATAAGTGTTTCTACATTTAAAAAACTCATAATAAACATTTTCTTGGGGTAGCTGATATCTTTAAAAGAAAATTCATACATTACTTAGGACCCGCAAATTATTAAATAAGTTAAATTTCCAGCTGTTAGACATTTAAATTATTTTAACATTTCTGAATTATGGATGGCATAAGGCAGGCATATCTGCCTGACAGAAATTAGAAGAAGCAAAGTGGCAAAAGAAGGATGCAATTTCTTAAAAGTGAACAAAAGCTTGAAGTTATACAAAGCAATATTATATCAAAATTCCATTCACAAAATACAAATCACTAGGAGATATACATATTTAAGACCTCTTAACATTTTAATGCAGCTGGTGTCTTTATAAACAGCATATGAATAAATTTTGCCTTTCTAAAAGAAATTAGAACGTCTATGTCTTTTAGCAATGATAATAATAGTAAAAACAAACACTCATCTAACACTTGCTGTATGCCTGGCAATATTCCATGTGATTTTGCATATATTAACTCACAATACTTAAAACCAGAGTCAGCTACATGATTTGCAGGGCCCATCGTAAAATGAAAATACAGGGCTGCAGTTTACAAATCAGGAAGAAAGTATTACTAATCATAGGTATGAAAATATAAAGCTTTTCTCCTTTCTTCTTCTGGTAGTGTTTTTTGTTTACTACTTAATATTGTAAGTAAAAATAGAAAATAAAAGGTTTAAATTATTAGTCTGAATTTTACCATTTATTTTCACATTGTGCAATGCCCATTTAAATGCAAATATAGGATCATTTAACTCATATGCAAGATTCACCAAAATTGCAATTTGTATTTCATAGCCCATCTGTGCATATGTGTTTTGTGCTTATCAGTACAGTGGGAATGCTTCACAAAAATAACTCAATTGTTTGTAATTCATATCTTGGTACACCCACATTGGGCTAATGCTGATGGAAGTGTTGGCTTCTCAATCAATGATGACAAAATGAAAGGAAGAGAACAATGGGCTACCCAATCATTCTGCTTACTCCTGTGTTGTCATTTTCAGCATAAGCTGTTGGCTCTTGTGGGAAGTCAAATGAATAAGAAAAGGTTCCCTGCTTGCCTGTGTTTCTGAGCAAGTTTTGTGTTTTGAACAGTGTCTTAGATACTTTTCTCTTTGCTGAGGCAAAATAGCGAACAACATCACAAATTGGAAGAGGAAAGGTTTATTTCAGCTCAGTTTGTAGAGGTTTCAGTCCACAGTCAGCTGGTGCCAAGGCCGGGTGGGATGGCAGAGGAGGAGAAACAGTCCATGGCAGGGCAGACAGAAGGCAGCAAGCCTGCCTCCCCTTTGTCATCTTTTCCAGTCTACCTGCCTTTTGCATGATGTCACCCCCAGCCAGGGTAGGCTTTTTCATTATTCATACCCAGAACTATGTTAAATCAATCAGTGGACTAATTTAGAAATCACAAACTCTTTTTTAAAATTCTTTTATTGGTACATTTTAGGTATACAACACAATTACATTTCTCATTGGGAATTTACCTTTACATAATGCATCTTGATTCTTATTTTTTCCCCATTCCTAGGCCTCCCTTCACCCCCTCCATCCTTCCCTATTTACAAAGACTTTATTTCCATTTTTTCCATTTCTCATCATTTTTCTTTTCCCTTCTTTCCTTTACCCCACCCCTCCCACTACCCCTACCGCTTTGGACCTTTTCTTCCTATTTTGAATTATCAATTATTCATTCTAACCATTGGAACATTTTAGGTATACAATATAATGACATTCATCATTGGAAATTTGCACCTTTACATA